TTCTTCTCTAATCCTGTGGAACTTTCCCAATGTATTGTAAAAAAAAATGCTCAACACTTCAAAGATTATTCAAGAACACTTGAATGAATATTGAGATAAGGTCAATGCATTCAGTTTCACAGAGCTGATTAAATCAATTTGAGGATACTTAATGCATCTAACTTTACTATTATTTAATGTTTTAGTAATCTTTTTCTATTATTGTCCAAGCTATTGTTTCTTGTTAAAATTAATTTTATGTGAAGCCTGGCACATTTAACTTTTTGTTTTTCTTCAATTTTGAAGAAGAAAAGGTGGTGAAAAAGAGAATTTGTGGAATCTGTGTCCTGGGAGATGTTCTGAAGTGATCTGGACAAGGTCCTGGGCAACTGGTTCTAGGTGGCCCTGCTTGAGCAGGGAGGAGAGGACAAGATGACATCCAGAGGTCCTTTCCAAAATCAGCCATTCTGTAAACAAGTCAGCTCTTACCTTTCTCATGAAATAAAGGTTTTGTCTTTCCCTCCCACACTTTGATTCTAACATTCACAGAACCTTGTCTTATTGTTTGTAACTTTTAATTAATTTTTAGTATACAATTTTCTGACTTTATTTTTGCTCTTTCTATTTACCTGTCCTTAGTAAAACTTTGTGCCTGTTTTTAGATGGCATCTCTCCAAGGAATTTCAAGACTGCCACATCTACCTAGATAAATCTGTTGCTGTGCTCTCTGTTTTACTCTTTTAGTGACTGACAATATTCTAATATTTCTTTGCTCCTTAGGTCTATACTAGTAAATAAATAGTGCCCAAGAATAGTGATAGTCACTGAGAAGGAATGGTGTGACATGTCCCATAACACTGTTGACGCTTACCTCCCAAGGGAGAGTGCTAATTGAAGTAGGCAAAACACTGCCCAGTGACACCGATGCCTCTGTCTGTAACTTTTAACTTCTTTCCTATCACTTTCCCAGGTCGTTATGGGATGTCATTTTCCCTTTCTAAGGGCTTTCTGGGTACCAAAGCATTACTACCAGTTCTTCTCATTCTGCCCCTCTGTTACTGGTCATGAAACCAGTATCTGGCCTGAACCTCCTCAGTCTGTAAGAGACATCAACTGCGACAAGAAGAAGTCTTTGTTCCTGAATAGTCAAAGGGAAAAGCAATAAGCCTGCCTCTTAACTCTTCCTGATCTTCAGAGCAATTACATCCTCCAGTCATCTTCCTTTGCAGAATATGAAACCATGGTCAAGAAAGCTGAAGCTTTCTTCCAGTGTTATTTATGGCATCACGCCTTCTCTCTTGTCTCTGTACCTGCATACAGCATTTTTTGAAAGAATCCTGCTGTGTTTCATGTCCCTCAAAAAGGAACATAAAGTTTGTAAGCATGATCTGCCCAGCATCATCCCTGGAGCTGAGAATGGGGCTTTGGTCAAAGACTAATCAGCCCTTCAATAAAGTCTTGTTGTCAGACAGGGTTTGGGGGAGCCATCAAACAGTCAGCAACCAAGGCAAGGACAGTCCATCTTCTTGAACAGACAGGTTGTCTTGGATAGGTATGTGACTGTGCAAAACTGAAGATCAGTACTCAGTCCCCTTTAGCAGTATCTTTGTGGCCTCTTGGACAGAAGTCCCAGGAATCTCGGAAGCTGGAGATGGCATGCTGCAGAGGCCTTGCAGATTCATGCTTTTCATAATGTGCTGTTTTTAAAAAATTCTTTCTTGTGACCATTAACCATTTTTCCATTTCTCTGATGGAATCTGGTAACAGTTCTGGTCTTTTTTTTCCTGCCTTAGCTTCATCTTTCCAAGGATTCTTACTCAGCTTTCCCTGTTTAACTGTCCCAGTTTTGTTTAGGTAGTTCAAACCACACAGTAGCAGTAGCTGTCTTCATTATTATTCTGTTTTAATCCAAGATTATTTATGTTATTTGTCATGCCAGCTACAGGGACCTTGGCATGTGTTGGATTTGACTCTACATGTATGGTTTACTGTTCCTCCCTTATAAAGGGAGAAAAAGGTAAATGGGTGTCTTCGGCCACATTTCACCTTTTCCTGCATCAGAATATAATGATAGTGACTTCTTTAGTGAAGAGTGTGCACTCTTGGGATCTGGATTGGCACGGTCAATATTCTCTTACCTCAGACACTAAAACCCTCCCAAATGTTGGAAACACTTAGCCACTCTCTGAATTCTTTGTTTCAAGAATCCTTTTCCTGCACACTTTTCCCAAGAGTCTCACACAATTTATTTCAGCTTTTCAGCATCATGCACTCAATTTGCTGAATATCTCATCAGCAGTATTAGGGATGGAGAGGGAACAGTGATGAGAATCAGATGCAATGACATTTTGCTTTGGATCCCCAAAGATGACAGAAGGGAACAGTGGAACAGCTGGTACAGATATAGAATGTTTCGGTAAGCAGCAGTTTCTGTGGTATAAATCAGAATTGGTATTGACAAAGCAACAAAAAACCCTCTTTCAGAATCTTATGTAAGATTTGGGTGAGTTTGAAATCTTCCTTGGGGCGTCTCAGATAACCTAGGTCATCTAAAACGGCTCTAGATATTTATTTTAGGTACCTGGGTTGTTTCTGGAATGATTACTAATGTTAAGTTTGCCCCTGGGCTTTCTTCTCACCCCGGTGCAGTGCTCTACTACCTGTGGAATAGGGGCTTTCTGGAGACACGTGGAATGCAGCAGCGGGAACACTTCTCACTGTCAGCACACAAAAAAGCCTGATCCTGCAAGAAAATGTTATCTCCGCCCATGTGCTAGCTGGAAAACAGGAAATTGGAGCAAGGTAACTTCATCCATAGCTGTGTGTGAACAGGAAAATCACTAACTTAAAAGAGCAGGGAGTTCTAAACACTTAATTTTAAAAATAATTATTTACCCAGTGAATGCATACATGATTTCCAGTTGACCATTCAGCACTAATTTACTAATTTCCTGAGGAAGTTATTTATGGAAACGCATCTGCTGTGAATTTTGTTCTTCCTGTGTGGGGGTCATGCTCATTAACTCTTGCATCTAGAGCTAAAGCAGGGCTCACCATCCATATTCTATGGAGGTCCTAGGGCAAAGCTCTGCATATTTGCATGTGGCTTCTTTTTGATCTCTGCCTCGAGAGGCTTATCCTAATTTTAAAAAGCAGGTGGTAATTTGCGAGGGGGCGTTGGCATGTTCCTATTCACCCTTGTCAGTGTGTATTCATCTCTTACATGACATTGTCTGTTCCCTATTCATGTAACCTTTCAAGTTTTACATAACAAAAACTAAAGAAAAAATGTGTTGAGGAGAATGCCTGTTATGTCTAGGGTCTTATTTGGTCCTAGTTATGTACACAAGCCTGGTCAAGGTACAACAGAGTGTCCAAGGTATTAAATGGAACCCAGGAAATTGCGTTTGAGTTATTTTTTAGTATTGTGAGATGTGTGATGAACACCTGGAAGGACTTTGGTGACTTCTTGACACTTGTTACATTTTGTCTTCGTGCTGTCTAAAACTGGGGCTTCAAACAGTGGTCTATTTTTAAAGACTCAAAAGACATAAACAACAAAATTCTATTTGAAATAATGCTGATTTAATAAAGAAAAAGATATAGATCTCAAGCTTTCCTAATATGTATCATTTTTGCAGACAATGTTGTTGCCATTGGACTAGAGGGCAGATTTGTACAAAGAAGAGTCTGCAGAAAAGGTTATAGTTATAAAACTTGCATTATATTATTGAGCTCTTTGACATAGAATTGATTTGTGCATGAAATACATGCCTGTTTAGAAAGTCCAAGGCAAGGCCAAGGCATTACATAATGACATTTAAGCCTTCAAAATTAATTTTAAATGATACATAGACGTTCTGCTGTCCCAGTTGCAGTAGGGCATTTTTCAGCTTCACTTTTTCTTCATAAATGTTATTGCTCTTGCAACAAGTGGATGATAGTTATGTCACAGAAAGTAGCTAGAAATCAGGTTTAATGACAAAATATTACAGGAAACAAATGTTTTAAAGTGCCAGTGCAATTTTGAGGTCAGTTTGAGACAAAAGGCTTTTCCTGGCAGATTTCTGTTGTGTTAGCTACCCTTATTTTCCAGCAATTGAACTACAACAACCTAATTACAATTTCATATATAAAAATCACTATTTTTCTTTGCTTTTGCAAGGGGCAATTGTTTTTCTCATTACTCATTTAAAAAAAAAAATAAAGCACCGTAGCACAGCAGGTTGGCTGTATTCCCCTGCTAGTGTAGTAAAGCTTTCTCTATTCCTTTACTGTCATCTACCTCTTCCCTTCCCCTAAAAGAAAGGTGCTTCACGCTAAATCTTACAGTCTGAGTTTAATACCAAATATAATTTGCACGTGTTTTGGGGCTGTGTGTGTACTCAGTTCCTTGCACAGGCACTTCTATCCATTGTTTCTATCCTGAGGGACAGAAACTTCTGTAAACAAGAGCATGGACTCCCCTTCCACCCATCCTTCAGCTCCCAGGGGAAGTATTATATTCAGGTTCTTTGTTCAACTGCAGAATGCTTATTTATGCAAAGGAGAACAGCATCATTTTTTATATTGCATCATGGCGGAAAAGATGAAAGCTGATCTGAGGTTATTCAGTGCTGTAGGCAGAATTTGCTTTAGTACTGGATGAAAGCAAAATAATGAAACATATATTTGTCCTTATCCTTGGGGTTGTAAATTTAATTCTTCCTCAGCAGCAGGAGAGGTCCTGGTCTTTGGTATGTCAGGACAGAACCTGTTGTTGCTGCATGAGGCCTTGGAGCAAGCTCTGGGGAGAAATAGGAGACTGGAAGGGCTTGCTTGGCTCACCAGTAGTGCTCCAAGCTGACAGGTGATTTCACAGGCTGTGAGTGAGGCTCAGGGTGTCTCTCTCTTCTCTCCCGTTCTCTCACGCCCAGGCTGCTTTGGGGTATGCATCCTCCTGGTGCCGTGGAGCAGTGAGGAGGGTGAGGGTGGGAACTGCTACTGTGGGATGAGGCCATCATCTCCCAGTGCTATCAGCAGCAACTCAAGTCTATGGGCGAAGACGAGGAGCAGTTTTGCCAGCCTGAGCAATCTGCTGCCGTGGACATCTACCTCTTCCATGGCTGAATTAGAAATCAAATCACATAACTGTGCCTCTTTCTTCCCTCCCTCCCTCAGAAACAACTAAAGAACCGACAATTTCCCTGCATATAGGAGTCGCTTTTAGTATTTATGCATTACGACTCTTTCACTATGACGTTTTTTGAAATAGCTGGCAAGATTTCCTAATTAAATATGTATCCGTGTTATTAATGGATATTTCAGAAAAGAAAGGGAAATATTTATATGGCGTGTTCTGATTTGCTATGATGAAAACCACAGTTTTTAAGCCAAACAACAGATTGTTGTTAGGGTGACCTGGAATTTCCTCCGTGAGTTGGGTTGCTCAAAGCTCAAGCCTCTCCTCCTCCTCGTCCTCCTCCTCCTCCTCTGCAACAGGGGAAGGGACAGCCCCTCAGTGGAGCATCATTTGCATATATGTCCCTTTCTATTTTCTATACAGTGCTCTGCTAACTGCAACGGTGGTTTCAAGACCCGAGATGTTCACTGCATTGATGTTCGTGAAAAGCGACTTCTCAGGCCGTTTCATTGCCAATTACTCGGATATAAACCACAACTCAACACTAGTTGTAACATGGAGCCTTGCTTGCAGTGGCATGTGGAGCCCTGGAATGAGGTATTTTTCTTTAAAAGAAGCTTTGGGAAGGAGCAATTAGCTGTGAATTAACAGTGACTGTTAGATCCCATGCTGTTACCTAAACTTTTGCTCAAAGGAAGACATGCAGCCAGTACTACTCAGAGGCTCTGCAGTCCTTGTGTATGGTTACAGCAAAAATTATCACTGACATTCGTAAGACTTCTCAAAATCATTCCTAAGATTGCATGTGATACACAGGTGGAGTTGTCAATTACTATACCATGAAACAGAGAAGCACATGGCCTGGAAGATTTGTTTTAGCTATCCTGTTGGATCAGTAAAAGAGATTCATTCACACTGATCCCTTTTGCTGCCATTTTAATGTTATTTTCTCATTATGATTAATTTAGGCTTTTCCTTTACATTTTTATGCTGGAATTTTATGGGGTCAGAGACAGAGGTCAGACATAAGATAAATCTGACTTTTGGGTCACTTTGTAATACAAATTTGTGCTAACAAACTTTCACAGGCAGCCAGGCACGTATTTATGTCGGCTAAAGCACGTGGTCTGATTACATTTCAGTGTTTGCTCCCACTAAAAGCAGCTTTGGAGAAAGCGCCACAATGATTGCAGCACTGTGGACCTGATGCTTTTGGATTTCAAAGGAAGTGATCATATTGATTCCTTACGGACCACTGTAAGGAAGCAAGGTCACACCTGTAATAAGGAGGAGACCTATGTGCAGTATGTGGGTTTCCTGTCAGAGCTGTCAGAAAGGGTTGAAAAATAAGAGTAGCCAAATGATTGTGCTTGTTTGCCACTTAAAAATACCTTACAAAACCATTTGTCCAACCCTGGCAGTTGTTTTCATGCTGCGGATACTGGATAGAATCAGACTGAAAAGGTTCATTTATCAGCTGTCAACTCTGGTCCTCTGTCCATAGGCATTGAATTCCTCGTAGGGCAGGAACAATGCATTATTCAAAGTATATCTGGTGCCTTTGGCGCCTTATTTCATGTCAGAGTACAAAATATTTGGTGTATTTCAAGGCTCTACTGCAGACTTAGTGAATAATAGTAAAAATCAGTTGAGAAGTAATAACGGACTAATAGAATGTGGACAAAAAATGTTTTAAAAATAACTGTCTTTGTATGACGCTTTTATTGCCAAATAGTTAATTTATTGTATGCATTGGTTGAATTTTAATGTCACCAACTGCCTCATAAAAATGAGATGCTGCATCTCATGAACTTGTAGTGTCTTCAGTAAATATGGCAGATGAATCCTGTAGACGTGTGACTTCCAATCTCATTCCTATTGGGGGAAGTTACTGTTGTTAGTGATACTGCATGAGCAGTTCTGTGTTGCCTGTTTATGTTGCCACTTCTATACTGCTTGTCCTATATTCCTTGCATTAATACATGTCAGGAGCAGCTTTATACCAAGTATTTTGGACCAATAATGGCATCTTCCCTGTCTCTTTCCAAGCATACAATGAAATAAATGTCTCAGTCCAGAGATTTTCTGCATACCTGGACTGTAAGACTTGGTCTGCAGGTTACCCTGCACATCTTTCTACATCACATGGGTCAGTGACATGCTTCTTGTTACCTGTGGCTCCACATTTCTAAATGAAGAACATTTCCTACTGTCTTTGTGGTCTGTTTCTGGGTTCTCATCCATTCCCACTTCTCTCCTCATGGGTTTGTGCACCTCTTTTGTTAGTGTTCACGAACATGTGGTGGTGGCCAGCAAAAGCGACGTATCTACTGCCCAGAAGGCGGCTACTGTGACTGGACAAAAAGACCTAATGCCATTGCATCATGTAACAGGCAACCTTGTACACAGTGGATTAACCAGGCATGGGGCCCGGTAGGATTCAGTTCTTTTTCGGTTTATTTGTTGTCATGAGTTGGCCATATTTGGTCATATTATCCACTTGTCTGTGAACCTCAGTGCCTATGGCAAGTATAGTTTCTTATGCACAGCTGGGGCTATGAAGGAAGATCTTTTGGAAATATTGCTAAACATTTCAGAGCCAGCCCATCTCATTTCCTTCAGGTGATAAACATCTGTTGCTTCATTAGATGCTGTTGGATGGAGAGCTGGTTCTGTTTTTTCCATTTCTAATAAAAAAGGAGTTACCATTGACATTCTTCCATTACACATTTGGAATTTTCTGCTGCAAGGGGCTACGGGGTGATAAATTCAACTATGTTCAGTTAGATATAGAATAAGGTAACATTTCAAGAGGATGACAGGACAGAGCATCTTTAGAGAGGGGAAAAAAAAGCTTGAATTGCTGATAGAAGTCCCCGATACATGCCTAGCTGAGTCCTTCCAAGTACAACCAGTCTGTTTGATCTGTCTATGCTCCCAGAGCCTCTCCCATCATTGTAATGTTTTGCTGTTGGAGACTATTTGGCAGGGAAGCAACTTTGTGGAATATTGGACTTGCCCATGCAAACAGAAATTCTGAATCAAAGGTTTTTGACTTCTAGTTTGGCTTCTGGAAATGTAATTGATAAATACGGGGTGTATCTTTGGGCAACCTCCCAGTATTTGCAATACATGTTTAGTTATAAAGAAACTGGTGTATCTAATAAAACTTTCCCTCCAGTTTCCTTAATAAACCTATTCATACATTACAAACAGTCCTCACAGCAGAAGAGAGCATTGAAAGAACACCAAAAGCCAGGAGCCACAAATAAGAAAATAATGGCGAGTCATTTAACCCAGAAAATGTAATGAGTTGTTTGTGACATAAAGCAATTAGATGGGGTATGAATATAATGTAATGTAGGGTTAGTGTAACTCTAACACTTAAATATGGAAGTGAAAATGTTGGGACATGCATAAAATAAGCAACTGAATACCAAAGTGTATAGCAGCTATTTTACTGATTTATTAATCACATTTATTTTACTTTATAAAAAAGGTATTTTAAACATTAATCTAAACTTGCTGCAAGAGTACCTAAGATCTTTTAATCTATGTCACACCAGTAATACTGTGTCTTGTGCACAGAGATGTACAGTAGAGAGAGGATAATTTGCAGAAAAATTAAAGAGGTGCCAGTCCTGTATTCATCTCGTGCCCTTCATTAGCCAGCATTCTCTATCCGTTAAAGTATTTATCTTGCTGGGCGCTATTCATCTGAAGAGAAAAAGAATTTAAAATTAACTGGAGTTTTCAGATGCTCTGGGATGTCAGAAGAATTAAGTATGTTTACAGAATAGTACAGGAAAATGTTTTGAAAATGTTCTTTTAGGGCCATACGTGTGCAGCCAGAACAAGCAGCTGGTAGTTCTTTCATTGTCATAAAGAAAGGGTAACCACAGTATAATGTCACTAAAGAAAAAACATCTCACTGAGCTTTTTTTAAATCTTCAGCTCGGTCATTTCTAGACCTAATATTGCAATTGATTATTCATGTTTACTTTAGATAGTGAGAAAACACAGGAAACAAAAAATGTCAGTGCGCAGTACTACTACTTTCTTACTTTGTAGGACTGGCATTTCAGGTCATCCTCATCCTCCTTCATAGAAAAGTCATCTCACTCACCCATTCCAAGATGCTGTATTTGTACTATTCACCCCTCTGGCATGTCCTGCCAAATCTGGCCACAATGCACCGTGGAGCTATCTGAATGAAGAATACAGTACACAAAATATTTTCATGCCATTGGTTCTGAATTGTATGACATTTTTAGCTTCCCCTCACAGATCAAATATTGGCATATTACACAATTTCCATGTGAAAGACTTTCATATACATATTAAAATTACTCTCTTTCAGTGCACCGTTTCTTGCGGAGGGGGCACTCAGCAAAGAGCTGTGAAGTGCATTAATACAGAAACGAATGAAACTGAAGATAACAATATGTGTGTGGATAAACTCAAGCCCATGGAGTATCAGAAATGCAATCTGCAACAGTGCAGGAAAAGTACAGGTATGATACAGGTTTCCAAGAAGCTTTTCACTTGTCCTAAGATTCTGCAAAAACTGGGAGCTGACCCAATTTATCAGCTTGTTGTGAATACTACAGGCTCAGTCGTTATAGGTCAGCCTAACCTGCTACTGCTCAGCTGCAGTTGGCAGAATCACGTTGTCGTGTTCTCCAGCCCTACTGGCCTCATGTTGCCACGATGGAGAATGCAGTTCTCTGAGCACACATCCCTAATTTGCGATGCCACAACTAAATAAATAGGTCTGCTTGTATTGACCTGTTTTAGGTAACTCAGAGGCTGCTCTGAGGGCTGTGGAAGGACATGCTCTGAGACCAAACAGATGCCATTTCTTAACACAGATACCCCTATGGGAACCACAGATTCTGAACTGGGGGGGCAAGCAAGCAAAGTGAGACAGGCACTGTAAGAAGAATCTGACTGGTGGTGGACCCAGATACAGTCTTGGCACTATGAATTCAGTGTTCCACAGGGTGAGACTGTCTCCAGAATGAGAAGGTGGAGGGAAGTCCTCTTGTGACTCGGGGTGTCCTGTACCTCTGTCCTTCAAGAGCCCAGGAGCCCAGTTGTGTATATGGTTAATAACCCAGAAAACAAGTGGCAGGGGAGGGAGAAAACTTACAGAAAGCTGCCTTTATCTGTAGTCTGTGTACTGCAGTATCCAGCAGCTACCCTCAGGTAAGAGCAGCAACAGCTCGGGGCCCTTCTGGAAGAGCCTTCAAAGGCCTTTTGGAGGAGGGTTCTTCCCTATTAGCAAGTCAGCAGTAAGGGCCCAATCTGGCAATGAGACAAGAGGTTGACTCCTAAGGGCAGTACAGATCTAGAATACACTTGAGTGATGCATCACTCCTGCTGTTCAAAGATTTTCAGCACATGTATTGCCCTAGGGTTGAATTGGTCTGCTTATCTCCTGTCCCTCTCACCTTCAGAAAGACAGACTAAGATAAATACTATCTATACAGGTTAGCAATAGTTATTTCTGTGAATAAGAAATTACTTACTGGGTAGATCAGTGGTCCGTGCAACCCAATATTGTGTCTCCAATAATGCATTAGAAGATGCTACTTAGGGAGAATACAAGAGTTTAGTCCTTTCCTGTGATTCATTTCCATGGTATTCCTCCAGCATTCCCAACTGACTTATTAAGACTATTAAAGGTGCACCTTTCAGTGCCTTTTAGTTTAAATTTGTGTAACTTTTTCCACTAATACGTTGCATCACTTTTCGACCCTGCGATGCTGTCTGCTTCCACCCTTTCCTGTGGCAGCAAGTTCCAGAAGTTCACAGCCTGCTGTGAAAAGAAGTGCTTTCATCTGTTTTAAGCTACCTTTATACAAGTTTCATTGAGTTTCCTTAATTCTAGTGTTGAGGGATTTGCTGGACGTCAGCCTTGCCTTCAGCTAATGCACCACCTTCCTGCTTTTGTAAATCTCGACTCTCGCCCTAGCCACCTCTTCTCACAGCTGAGGACCCACAATTTGTAATATCTAACTAAATCTGACACATCTCAGTTCATTAAAGCTACCACAAACCTATGAGCACCATAATATATACAGTACCAATCCCTGGCTTATTCTGGTGCTGCAGAAATTGAAGCATTCAAGCTGAATGTGTAGCTGCATGTGCCTTGTATATGCTCTTCTGCCTGCCCTGCGTGGCTCTGCAGCATGTTGCCAGCCCATTGCGCTTGTCTTAAATGCACTGTTACAAGAATGCGAAAGTACCAGACTCACAAATCATTGTTGCTAGACTTTATCTGACAGTTCTTAAAAGCAGAAACATTGAAGTGCAGAACATAGATCAGCTATGTCTGCTGAAAAAGTAAAGCCTCACTGAACAGTAATAAAAGAGTGCTGTATTTTCCAAGACAGAAGGTCATGTGAAGTTTAATAGGGCCTGTTCACTTAAAAGTCCTAAAATTTCAGGGGGATCAAGCTGACCATAACACAAAGGAAAAGAAAGCCATCATAAATAAGAGACTTAATAGGTATGACTGTCTGGCGTAAAGCATTAACAGAAATACAGATGATTTGTCAGCAAGCTATAGCTAATTCTTCTCATCTTCTCCACTATAGGGCTACCCTGCAGCAAAGACCAGCTGTCGGTTCACTTCTGCCAGAGGCTGAAAGGCATCGGCAAGTGCTTGCTGCCGTCAATACAGACTCAGTGCTGCTTCACGTGTGGTCAGCCCCGAATTCGTAACAAAGCAAGATATTGGGATCAGCGAGGCCTCAAACAACAAAAGTACACTAAAGCTAGAAGAAAATCACCTCAAAACCAAGAAAATAACAACCAAGCTGCTCGGCACTAGCTGTTTTTAATCTAGTTGCTTTGAGTAGGGCTTCTGTTTACAGGTTTTATGTTTCATCTGTTTTTTTCTGAACCATCCAACATAAATGTAAATCTGTGCTCAAAACTGGGAAAACACATCCCTTAGGGTTATCAGTCCTAATTTACCACTTCAAATTTTTCTCTGTAATAGTCCAAAATTCATAGCATAATTTGCAATGTATCAGCAGCTAGTGCTTCTTAGGCATGCATAGAGGCTAGAAACAAGCTTGCAATAATTTTTTTATTTTTTTAAACGAATGTTTTACTTGTTCTTTCTTCCATCTCTTTTCTGAAACCCATTTGAAATGGCAGCACCACTTACTCGAGAGTGCTGAGTGAAGGCAGCCAACAGAGCAGCAGACACAGACCTGTGCTGTGGGCCAGGTCCCTCTGTGGTTTTAGGAATCAAGGTGAAGCGGCAGTGTTTCTCTAAATTGTTTGCTCACTTCATAAATGTAAAAGCAGATTTTTATAATAACTGATTATGATATGCAGACCGAACTGAAACATTGGGCTTTTCAAAAGAAAAAGTGTTCGTTTAGTACTTTACTGAACCTCTAAAGGATACCTCAGCAATAGCCTGTCCTGGACAGTTTTCTTCTGCTACAAATGTCTTGGTGTAATCTGGAAACCTCACCAAATATGGGATGTTAAGTTCCCAAATATGTTTGAAGCAACATTTCTTGGTACTGTGAAAGCAAAGCTGTTTGCATCTACCACCTTAGTAGGTCAATTGTATTTCATACCGATGTTGATGATAGAGCTCTCATTTAATCCAGTCTCTCCTAGCAGAGTGTAAGCCCACGTGCACTAGAGTACTCTATCACCTCACGCACAGCAAGCTTTTCCCCTTCGCAAATCCTTGATCACAGTGAGGGTGAGGGTATCTGGGACAGGAGCCTGAGACCCAGAGTGTCTGCGTAGCTCTGGCCCTCAGGTGTTAGGAGACCACTAGCCAAATAGCATATTTGCTTTGCTATTGAAGAAAATGGCAGAACAAACTTTAGGGAGGGCAGACTGGACCCTTTGAAGCAAAGCTGGGCATTTTCAAAAGAGCGGGAGAGAGTCTGACATTTAGATTCCTTTGAAATTCGGTAGGATTTGGAAACCTTGGTTCTTCATGCTCTTTTGAAAATCTCAGATTTACTCCCTAGCTACCTGGCAATTTGAGATTGTAATACAGGAAAATGTCACATTTTATGCAGTGCAAAGTGAGACACATAGCCACGAATCCAAGTGTCACTATGGTTACAGAGCTGTGACTAGCAATGGCCCTATTTCTAGACAGACCTTTATGAAAGTTAATAGAAATATTGGGCCTAGCTATAATGTATTAACCTATTGATGGCCACAAGTCTAATTGTCCTTTTTCATAGGTTTGTGACCTTTGGCTAAAGGCTCACTTCTTCACTTGAAGTCTCTGGGAGTTCAGGGTATGCAGCATGGTAAGGTTAGATTTATTAACCTCTGTGATGGCAACATAACCCCAGTTATAGGTGCTGATAAAACTTAAAATCCACTGTTAAAAATATGGTGCTAGTATAACAGACATGGGGGATGATATACAATGGTGCATGTGCATGCATGTGTGTACATAGCATACATGCACATACTCTTAAAATAATACGTGTCTGTGGTGTTGCTGGCCAATGCCAGATGTAATTCTTTTTAAGTTTCAGAGTGTGCTTATGTCCTTCTGAGGTCCTGAATGGCTACTGACCCTTTGAGCAATAGAAATCTGGGCAGTTCTTATTCCACTGGACGCAGAAATATTGAATCATGTGAAGGGGTGGAGGTGTCCCACGTGATTAATGAAGCATTTAGGCAGGGCTTCATTGTGTAGAGCAGAGCCTGTATTGCTACATCCAAGGCAGTTCTCTGACGGCCAAACAACCTAGACTGGTGGACAGTGCAGAAGCTTCTGGTGTTCCCAGAAGAATCTTCTAGGATTTGAGCAAGACAAAGTTAGAAGAACTTCAGAGTTAGACTCTTCTGTCCTCAGAGGTACCTGCAATGTTTTATCCACAGAGGTCAGCAGAAGTGGGTATCACATATGAGAAAGGAGCTGGCTGGGTGGATATAGGGCAGGTGGGAGGAAAAGTGACTGGGAGGGTAGTCCTTTCCAGTGCTCCTTATGGCTAGTGTGGAATAAAACCATTTCTGGCTTCATTGTTTTCTTCAGGGAGCTGTAATTTCATTTGAAATGGATAAAAGTGAATTTATATTATGAAGTGAAAATATATTATGGACATTAATTTAAATAATCTTTCTACCCAGGGAACCACAGTCATCACTGGTGCTCAGCTTAAGACTGTAGGGAAAAGTCTGTGACAACAACATGAACTGTTTTAATAGAGCAGTGCCACCGCTGTATTTTACATAGGTTCTTACATCGCACTCATCAGCCTCATATCTCTTCTTTGCTAATAATATGTGCAGTCATCTTTCCCATACATTTAACGAGATTCCTTTCTTATGACATAACTATTTTTACATAAAGGTGGATTTATGATCATAACCCAGATGGTCACTATTCTCAAAACTGAATAGAGTATTAAGTGCAGAGGCATAATATCATTCATTATATTATCATATTAGCCTGAGACACATCAGCTTCAACAGGTAGCTCAGGAAATAATGATTTTTTGGCACATTCACTGCTTGTTCTAACATTTCAAGGTTTAAAAAGCAAACTATGATGACATATTTGTTTCAAGCTTCAATAAATGGCATTGCTTGTGTCTGATGTCTCTGGTATTTTATGTTTCCAGTGCAAGAAGATTCATAAGAAGGTATTTCAAGGGGAAAAAAGCTTGGAAACTATCTTTTCTATTCCAGGGGAATCCCCATCATTGAGGTATTTTGATGTTTGATACTCCAACGTAAAAGAGATCATTAAAAAGGGGAGGGAAAAAGTAGGGAAATAAAGCATGATGCTCAGTAAAAATATACATTAATAGGCTTAGTTACTTCCTATGAAATAGATAACATCTTACTACTTCTAGTTCAAACAGATATGCCTTAGCTCCTTGACAGCAGATGTGTGCATGTCTGTTGTGTCTATTGTGGGATGTATTTGTTTTCCTGAAGATTTGTGTACAATATGATCATGGCCACTACCCTGAACCCCCGCCCGTTGGGATCTTTTCAGTACTCTAGCTTTGTGAGTAATGCTGATGCCCAGAAACTTAATCACACTAAGCCTGTTGCTTGACATGCCAGCCCACGAGCACAGGCATCGCAGTTAAGCATATATGCTTGGGTAGAGAGCTCCATCAGTTTGCACTGAGTTACCAAATTCCACTTATGCATCTATATGTGCGTTTGGCCTCATAACTTATGTAAGTTCCGGGAAGTTGCTCCTTACTTCACAAAGTAAGTGTGGATCTCCAGCCCACAGGGGCAGCATCCTGCACAGGTGCTCTAAGCGAGAGCAATGGGTTGAACTGAGAAATGAGTTGAAGCTCCCCCCGGCTTTGCAAAAGCTCATTAGGCATTCACTGGGTGACTTGCTGCACACCACACAGCCTGACGAGCAGTTTCTGCTGTCTGCTGCACTATGCGGCATGACTGACTGCACTTCTGTGGCCTGGCCAACCACGTACCACCTACCAAAGAAACTGCCTTTTGGCTGCTGGCATCAGCTCAAAATGAAATCGGCGTGCAGGGAAAACATTGTGTTTGTGGCTCTAGTGATTCTCTCCATGATTTTTGTAGAAATAGGGTCCGTAGAGTGTGGGTGTATTTGAGCTATCAGTTGTCCATTTTCCCCCATGACTTCTGTAGAAAAGTGTTTGTCAGTCAGTGGCTGTACCAGTTTTATGCAAATATATGGGAAGTGCTTTTTATTACCTGTGCTTAAGCAGAACTAAGTGTCTGTAATGTAGATGTAGCCATCCAGGGATACTACAGGGAGAAGTTGTCTACTATATTTCATAAGTAATCACTGACTGATTGTCTGCTGCTTGTTATATATGCAGCCTCTATCTGTCTATTCTACAGGTAGTTTTAGAACACTGCTCGGGAAGACCCTAAATGTCACACATGGTGACAGCAAACTCTACACCATGTGTGCCGCAAACTGTTGGGTACCGTCTTGCAACTCACTGACGGGGGGATGTTGGGCATCTTCCTTCTCTAAGCCTTTCTAAGGCTGCTGGCTGCAAGGGTGAGTGTGGTTTGTAGCACCTAGTGACAGCAGTCCTGCTGTGAACCAGCTCTGGGTAAGCCGAAAGCCAGATAAGCGTCCTCACCATTGACCTGGAATAACCTGTTTCTTCACTTGGGTTTCATATAGGGTCTGATCTTGTGCTCTGCATTCTTGGCGGGCTAGGCAGAGAGGTGTGTATACGTGTGTCTCATTAGTACCTAAATGTGAAAACAGCTACTTTGTGGTATAAAAGCACAACCAGAACTAGACCTTTTCAACAGGAGATTTCTAGGTGTGCAGGCTTCTCTCCAGCAGGAGCACACTTGCATGATGATTGGATAAGGCGAGAGGGGAGTAGGGATTTGAGGAGTGGCATTCCAGATGGAGGCACTTAAGGCAGCAGCACTGATGTTTTGTGGCTAGAGAAACACAGTACATTGGAGAGTTAGGAGGCAGAAATTTCAGCCCTGTTGAAGTGCATGTCCTAGATGTCCTTGTTTTGAGTGGGTTATTTTCAGTGTGCCCAGGTCGCCAAGAAGGCCAACAGCATCCTGGCTTGTGTCCAGAATAGTGTGGCCAGCTGGACGAGAGAATTGATTGTTCCCTTGTAGCTGGCACTGGTGAGGCCGCATCTCAAGTACTGTGTTCAGTTTTGGGCTCCTCACTACAAGAAAGACATTGAGGTGTTGGAGCGTGTCCAGAGAAGGGCAACAAAGCTGGTGAGAGGTCTAGATAACAAGTCTTATGAGGAGTGGCTGAGGGAACTGGGGGTGTTTAGTCTGGAGAAAAGAAGGCTGAGGGGAGACCTTATCGCTCTCTACAACTACCTG